CATGAAGAGATGAAGAAAAGTAGTGCAGAAGGGAAAATTGCTAAAAGTCAGATATTTATTTTTATTTTTATTATTTCTATTTTTTCAGATAGAGTCTCATTCTGTCACCCTGGGTAGAGTGCCAGGGCATCACAGCTCACAATAACTTCAAACTCTTGGGCTCAAAGGGATTCTCTTGCCTCAGCCTTCCTAGAGCCTTAGACTACAGGTGCCCACCACAACATCTGGCTATTTTTAGAGGCAGGGTCTTGCTCTGGCTCAGGCTGATCTTAAACTCCTGAGCTCAAGCAATCCACCCGCCTCAGCCTCCCAGAGTGCTAGGATGACAGGCACTGAGCCCAGCCATTGAAAGTCAGATATTTAAAATGCATCCCTTTCATGTGGTCTGGAGACACAGTGACTTAAGGCAGCAACTTTTTTGGCACCAGGGACCAGTTTCATGGAAGACAACTATTCCATGGGGGGTGGGGGGAGTATGGTTTTGATACCAGTCTTCAAGCAGTTGATTATGGTCTCTGTGCAGTCAAATCTTTCTGCTAATAATAATCTGTATTTGATTCCGCTCCCCAGTGCTAGCATCACCACCTCAGATCATCAGGCATTAGAGTCTCATAAGGCACACACAACCTAGATTAGATCCCTCGTATGCACAGTTTACGGTAGGGTTCATGCTCCAATGAGAATCTAATGCCACTGCTGATCTGAAGGGAAGAAGAACTGAGTCGGTGATGTGAGTGATGGGGAGCAGCTGTAAATACAGAAGAAGCTTTGTTCACTCACCCATCGCTCCCCTCCTGCTGCGCATCTCAGTTCCTAACAGGCCACAGACCAATATCTGTCCATGGCCCAGGGGTTGGGGACCACAACCTTAAGGACCTATAAGTTGTCTCTTGGGCACCATCTCCAATAGACACGCTTCTGATGGCTCTTTCAAACAGAGTCTCACCTGCATGCCTGGCAACTGTGAAAGGTGTCAACCCGCCATCCATCTCATTTTACCTTCTCAGCAGCCTTATGAGCACAGCAGGTGTATAGTTTTGCAAAGGAAGAAACTGACACTCAAAGAACTTAAAGGATTTGCCCAAGATCAGAAAGCTCTTCCCTGGAGCCACCCAATAAAACTCCCCTCTACTCAGCTCAGGGTAGGGAGAGAAGACAGCCTGGCACAACCCTGATCTTTAGGCTGTGGGGAGCCTGGGGAGGACTTAGGGACAGAGTATGGACAGAGTATACATCGAGACTCAGGTCAGGCAGGATAGAGGGACGAGGAGCCAAGACAAGAATATTTGAAGTTAGGAGGACCTCAGAGTTCATCAAGGTCAGGAGTTCTTAACAGAAGAGGGAACAGGGAGAGGGGATATCACAGGTTACATACTAGGAAAGAACTCTGACACCAGCTCCCCAGGGGAATAGAATCAGGACCAATCCCATACTTCTACATATGGAGAAACCTAGGCCCAGAGAGGTAAGGGAGGTTCCCCAAAAATGCGCTTCCCTGGGAACCAAGCCATCCTGGGGGGCACGAATTACTGTTAGGTGGTAATGTGCTCATTATATGAACACCATCACACCCGCACCAGCTAGAAATGCCATGGAATTGCTCAGAGTTTCTCTCTTTCTGTGTTGATGAAAAACTCCCAATTTTTTATACTCTTGCAGAACAGAGAACCATAACGTCCACTTCAGCTTTCATAGCTGGCTTCCCATACATTGGTCCATTTGTTACTTTTAACAGTAGTGAAAGTTTCTCCCACTCTGGGAAGTTAATGAGGGACAATTGTCCTCCCAGAGCCAATATCCCACATTCCACTAAGGAGGCATTTCTCTCTCCCTGCCCTGAGCTGAGTAGAGGGGAGTTTTATTTGCTGAGGCCTGGAGGTGCTGGCTCCAGGGAAGAGCTTTCTGACCTCAAGCAAATCCCTTAAGTTCTCTAAGCCTCAAAGGTAGGTGCTGCCCCAAGGTTCACTCAGGAGATTAGCTGAGACCCTCAGATTCCAACCCAGGCTTCTCCCTATTTCCTTTTCTGGAAATAGGCACCTAAGCCCCAGAGCCTAAATCAAGACAGTAAGATACAGGAGGGGTGAGGTAGACAGGAAGGAGACATAGCTCAGTGATAGTGGCCAGTCCAAGACCTGCTCTCTTCTCTTTAGGAAGGATTATGTGTGGGACTTGGGGGAAGTTGTTTTGGAGATATCATGGGGCACTTGTGCAAATCTACAAAGGCCTGAGAGAAGATGAGGATGGGTAAGGAGGCAACCCAGGGCAGTGCCCCCAGGAACCCTGGAGATAGGTACAGCTGCCGTCGTTCAGCCCCAGCCATCAGCTGAGTAGCCCACAGCCAACCAGAAGATGGCAGATGTGACCCTGAGGTCTACAGACTATGCTCTAGTCAGATGGATCTGGGTTCAAATCTCCCCTCTGCTCCCTAGCTTCCTGTGAATAACAGAGGAGAGTTTAGCAAATATTTAGCAAGTACTTAGGTACTTTGTGCCAGGTACAGAAGCAGGTACTGGATTAATCAAATTATCACACATATCCCCATAAAGTCCTAAAGGGGATATAGTATCTGCATCTTAGGATGCAGTGTGGTGAGGATTAGAGAAGGGAATGCATCTCATAGAAGCCTCTGAGCAGGGCCAGCTGTTACCATCCCAGCCCTTCAAATGACATCTGGTGTAGCTGAAGAATTGTTAAAATACTTTGTATTTGTCCAGCATTTTTAGTGTTTAAAAGCACGCAAGCACATTAGATCAGATCACCCAGGATTCCCAGTTAACCTGGGAGGCAGATACTTTATTTTCCACAATTTGTTGATGAGGAGAATGAAGCCCAGAGAGGTGAAGTGACATCCTCAGAGTCTCCAGCAAGGAGATTCAGGACCCAAACTCCAGCACAAGTGCCCTGGGCTGTCCACTCTCCGCAGCAGCGAAAAGGAAGGGCTGGGAAACAGCCCGCGGACCGGAGGCGGCTGGGAAACCAACCCCGTCCGCACCCACGGTGGAGGCTGCGGCCCGGATTTCCTGCTTCGCTCGGCCCGCGGGCTGGGATGTGGTCCGGGAAGGCCGTCCGCCCTCGGCGCGCCCGACCCTCCCGGGCCCGCAGCCAGGAGGGGACGCGGCGCCGGCGGCGGCCAAGGCCGGAGGGGTCCTCGGGGACCCCAGCCTGGGCTGCGCGTCCTTCCCTCTGGCCCACGCTCCTGCTTCCGGAGGAGTCTGGGCCTGCCGTCCCCGGCCCGGAGCCAGGGGCCGCCAGGCAGGCAGCCCGCGCGGGGGACTAGGCCCCCTGCCCTGCTCCCCAGGCGCGCCCCGCAGGCGGCCAACCAGGACCAGGGCTCCGAGACGCGCGATCCGGGCACCCGGGCTGCGGGGAGCCCCTCGGGCCCATCCGCTGCCCCACTCCCTCTCGTCGGCCTGGCTTGGCCTGGCCCCTGGATCGCTTTACGTAACCGCCCGCGCCCAAGAGCCGCCCTTGGCCCCTGCACTTATTTCGGCTCCCGACACCTGGCGTGGGGGCGGAGGATGGGGAAACAGAGGGGCAAAGGGCTCCAATGCAGAGTGGTGAGAGGGCAGACAACTAGGCTCTAAGTTCCAAATCGGATCGCAGGGGTAAAGCCGAATTTCTGTCTCCCCACCCTGAGCGAGCGCCGCAGTTTGCCTGTTGAGCTAACAGTGTAGGCAGCTCCTCTGCCTCCACCACCTGGTCTGAAGCCTCCAGCCAGCCCTCGGGGGTCCATTTAGACTAGGCCTCTGAAAGCAGAGGACAGCTCTCCGCAAGCAAGGTGAGGCTGGGATCGTTCAGCAAGGAGTGGAGCACCTCTCAGCCTCCACCTCTGTGTGTGAAAAAAGGACAGGAAATGAAAGACTTCTAAGTGTTAGAACCCCCCCGGCCCCCAAGGGTTCTCGCAGCCGTTCTCTGGCCACTGTGCAGAGTGCTGTCAGTTAATTGTCAGCTGTGTTGATCGCCCTCCATGCACTGCCATTAATTAAAGTGAAGGCAGAACAGCCTCTTAGCCTGCTCAAGAGATAACCATACAGCCCCTTTTTATTTGTACAGTATTTAGTTTGTAAGCTCTTCCTACATATAGTTGAAAAGTATGTGAGACTAACTGCCTGAGTTTGATTCCTGCCGCCTCCATTCACTAGCTAGATGAACTTGGACAATTTGCTTAACTTCTGCGTGTCCATTTTTCTGTCTCTAAGATGGGACTAATTCTAGAACCACCTGGCTGGGCTACTCTGAGGATTAAGAGGCTAATAGGTGTCAGGTGCTTGGTAGAGCACGGGTCACAAAGTATGTTCC